TAATGTGAGCTCCAACACTGTATGTATAATAATTATACAAGAATTCAGTGGCTTTTAAGTGCAGTATAACGTTTTGTGATTGTGTGCCCCTTCGATTCTACATTGCATTTTCAATAATGAATGATTAATAATAATAAACAATAATGAAGCTTATCTGAAATCTGAAAGGGTTCCATAAGAAACACACACACACACACACACACACACACACACACACACACACACAAAAACCCCAGCACAGTTGAGAATATCTGCCGTTCACCCAGATACTCGAGAGGCTTTTCACAGATGTGATAAGCTGCTATTTAATTGTCAACCATTAGTCACAGTTATGAAAGTCACCCAGAGAGATTTTGTCTTCCACCACAATTAATCTTAATTATATAGTGTCAACAATCAAGGGATGTCTGTTAAAATATAGACGTGCTGGAGAAAGTCTGTATGCCTGTGTGAAATAACATGACCTGTGATCAGGTCTGTCAGCTGTAATTCATTGAAATGGCAACAGTCTCATTTGAACGGCTCCTGTCAGTGGTGTGACTGCATGGCTCCATCTACTGGAACCTGGTTAACATAGAAATCTGTGCCAAGGATTTCAAAAAGTCTTCATCGGATATGCTGTTGAACACATTTTTGACATGACGTGCCTTTTTTTTCTTTCTTTTTTGTGAGGGTATTCATTATTTCTGGAACAGCTCAATAGAAGAATATTTAAATACATAATTATTTATGTGAAATATTAATTGCTTTTGCTTGTATCACTTATTTCCTAACGGTTACTCCTTCAGCATGCTCACCTATGTTAATTCCTTGAAAGTAGCTTTTATTTTTAGAGCTGAATATCATAAAAACAGTGTATAGAACATTATACATTAACATTTCAATAGCTAACATGTATGTGTCAACGCAGCAAAACCATCGTTTCTGAAATTAGTTCTGCTTTCATATAGTCTCAAGAGGAGGTGTGTGACTTGTTGCATGCAGCGCCCTTCCAGAACATCTTGCCAAGAGTTCACGTTAAAGGTATGCTCATGTTTATGTATGTTTCCTGAGGATATTCAGTATTTTTAGCATGCTTCATGTGAGAAGTTCTTCAAACATATCCAATAATCTCTCTTCATCCCACACTTGTGCAGAAGGTGAGCGTCTGGATGCAAAGATGAAGCGTTTGGAGGCCAAATACACCGCGCTGCATTTGGTCCCTCTGATCGAGCGTCTGGGAACCCCTCAGGTGGGTGAAACATCACTGCACTGACAGCCGCTTTAGTCGTGCTCTGCTGCTTTACCACCATCAGCATGCACATCCACTTATTGTCATTAGCATCTCCAACACACTTAACTGCTGCGTTGATCTCATTCCAGAGCCTTCCAGATTCATGTGTTGTGGCAGTGGTAATGGGCAAATTGATTCATTTCAAATAGAAATGGTGATTTCTAGCTAAAGGTTACTTGAGGAAATCATCCTTCTAACGATCATTAGTTATGATCGTTAGAAGGGCATTAGTTACCAATCTATTGCTTGCTTTTTGTTGCTTCTGTGCCAATTATGAAACAAATACATTTGAAATTTACAGTTGAAATTGACTTAGTATGTAGAAGTTATACATTTTGACTCAATTTTGACTTGTCCAAGTATCTCATAATGCCGACTTTGTCAATAATAATTTTTAAAAAAGCAGTCCTGACATAATGGTTAGAGAGTCAAGACTTATAACCTGAAGTTGACTCTTCGATTATCAATACCGGCAAGCAAATTTAGGTGTGGGATTGTATTAATGGCACTGCTCCTAATAGGTATGCACTAACTTGGATGGGTTAAATGCGGAGGACAAATTCCAAGTATGGTTTACCACGTCACATCACTTTTTTTTTTAGTTATAACTTATGTCATAAGCCTTGTGTGGCGGAAATCCACTTCCATAGTTATATTGAATATTTTGGAAGTTGTAAAGTAAAACAAACAAAAGATTTCTTTAAGTACAAGATGATTACAAATTAATTTCTGGTGCTTGATTTAATTTCAGACCACTTTAATAGTTCCTGTCAAAGACATGCCAAACTGCATTTGAACATAAATGTGTCATTGTCAGAATTGTCACAATACCATTTAAATGTTGTCACAGTACCACATACTGGTCAAAATGTATAAATAATATTTGTTATTTGCAGCTATATTTGAAGTCAGGAGCTACAATGTCTTGATGCGGACTTAAGTGAGCCATTCTGGTCCGATTTTAATCAATTCCCTGTGCAATCTTCTCATCAGCAAATTGCCATCGCCCGTGAGGGTGACCTTCTGACTAAAGAGCGCCTGTGCTGCGGCCTCTCCATGTTTGAGGTCATTCTGACTCGCGTCCGTGGTTATCTGGACGACCCGATCTGGCGCGGACCATTGCCCAGCAACGGCGTGATGCACGTGGACGAGTGCGTGGAGTTTCACAGGTTGTGGAGCGCCATGCAGTTTGTGTACTGCATCCCGGTTGGAGCCCATGAGTTCACCGTTGAGTGAGTGGAACCTGATCACCGGCTGTTTACCAAATTAAGATTTTGAGCTTTTTTAAAAGATTCTGATCCTCCTCTAGGCAATGTTTTGGAGATGGTCTGAACTGGGCGGGTTGCATGATTATCACATTACTCGGTCAGCACAGGCGCTTTGATATCCTGGACTTCAGCTACCATCTCCTGAAGGTGCAGAAACATGACGGCAAAGATGAGATCATCAAGAGTGTGGTGAGTTTTTCTTTGTCAGTTTGCTGTATTTTTCATGAAATCAAGACACCAACTAATCCATTTGTTTCCCTCCTACTTTAGCCTCTAAAGAAAATGGGTGAACGAATTCGCAAGTTCCAGATTTTGAATGATGAAATCTTTGCCATTTTGAACAAGTACCTGAAGTCTGGGGATGGAGAGAACATGCCAGTAGAACATGTCCGTTGCTTCCAGCCTCCGATCCATCAGTCATTGGCCAGTAACTGAGATTGTGAGTGGAAGAGATGGTTGAGGGAAACCTATTTAGTGACAAGTTTATCCTCAAGTGTAGGACCAGATTCACTGTCACATTCTACTTAAGGAAGCCTTTCTCATGCCAGCCTGTAGTGTTCACAGAGCCAGTAAGTTGCCTTGCGATTAGTTGAGCGATTTGGTTTACACCAATCAATTGTACCATTATTGGTTTTGCACACGTCTCAGGCTTTGGTAAATTAGGGTAATATGTTTTAAGATGATGTAGACAAAGTTTTACTTAGTGTATTTCAGGTTGATTTTTATTTTTTTTTGTACACACACTCGTGCCTTATTATAGATAAATGACTTATCTTTTATATGTTAATGGTAGCACAGCCCTACTCATTTTCATGTTTTATACTTGGGGGAAGCAGTGGGAAAGGGTTGGAAAATGGCCAAGTGGGTTTTGTCAACTGATTATTTAAGCTTTTGCTGTGGTGAGAGACCCATGGTATATTTTCTGTGGTGTTGTTGAATGATTGCATGCAAGGTTGTTTTTTTTCTTCTTCTATTATCTTGAATAAAACCTTAAAGGGATAGTTCACCCAAAAATGAAAATTGTCATCATTTACTCACGTTACTCCAAACCTGTATGAGTTTCTTTCTTCTGTTGAACGCAAAGGAAGATATTCGAGGATTATGGGTAAACAGATAGTTGATGGTAGCCATTGACTTCCATATTCCTCAAATATCTCCCTTTGTGTTCAACAGAAGAAGAAACTCATACAGGTTTGGAATAACAATGAGGGTAGTTTATGATGACAATTAAAATTTTTGGGTGAACCATCCCTTTAAGCATAACCAAGTTTTTACTCTCAATAAACATGCCTTTTTAGTAATTTTTATGTAATCAGATTTTAATTCAATAAATATGTATCAAACTTGGTTTCCCTAGCTCGCTCTTTACAGAAAAAGATAAGTGGGTTAAAGGACTAGTTCGCACACAAAATATCATTATTAACTTCACTCAGTGCTCCAAACATGAATAAGGGGTGAAAAAAGCACTATACAAGTCTCTTCAAGAAGCCCTGAACCAGATAATTAAAATCTTCAGGATGCGTGTTGAAATAGATTGGAAGTAAATGATACATTTTGCAGGACAGTGGGGTCTCCCTCAGAATAGTTGATCGGGTTGATACTATTCATAATCTGAAGGTAGTGGTGTCTAATAATGTTAGTCTTTTACCGACAAAAACATGAGACATTTTAGATACTCGAATGAGCTCAAGCTGAACTATTAACACTGGTAAAGGGAAGTGCTTTGCTAGTGGGTTAATTCTCAGCCAAACGCATCCGATATGTACATACAAACCATATAAATGTAATATTACAGCTTGCAATATGTACAAAGTGACAAATGAAACCAACTTGTACTAAGTTGGATGCTAGTAAGACCGTGTGAAACTATATGAATATGCGCTGGATACAGATTAAACTACTACACAAAGAATTCATAAAATTACATTAATAGCGAACTCAATTTTATGCTATTCAGGCACTCGGATTTTTACAAGGACCGTTTTCACTTAAAGGGAAACTCCACTTTTTTTTGGATATAGGCTCATTTTACAACTCCCCCAGAGTTAAAGAGTTGAGTTTTACCGTTTTTGAATCCATTCAGGCAATTTTCTGATATTTAGAAGAATATCAGAAACCAGACAGTTTCTGGTCTCACTGACTTCCATAGTAGGAAAAAAATCCAGACCAGAAACTGTCTGGTTACTGATATTCTTCTAAATATCAGAAAATCTGCTGAATACATTCGAAAACGGTAAAACCCATCTGTTTAAATCTGGGGGAGTGGTAAAATGAGCCTATTTCCAAAAAAAGTGGAGTATCCCTTTAAGTTGTTTTGTAAAATCTTGGTTTAATTGTGAATTAAAATTAGATGCCATGTGTGTCAGTACAATAGGCTAAAACTTTATGAATATGACTTAAAATTAGATTTTAGATTCCTTTAAATTAGATTTAGACGCTAATAAATTGAGATGGACTCATTCCACTTGGATGTCTTTATTATAAAGTCAAAGCAACTACCAATTTTGTAGAAAGGAACTCAGTGCATGTAAATACAGATATCTGTACATAAAATATAACAAAAGTCTCTTAAAAACGTACAGTTGTATATTTACAGTGCTACATGAGGAATGAGATGATGCTTACCATGTAGTCTAGTTTGAAACAAAAAAACAAAAAGAGGCAATGAAAACCCTTAGTACAATCGATTGGTCCATCTTTTTTGACGTTGTTTTTTATTTTTATTTTTTTGCTTTGAGTTGATTGTCTTAGGTTTTATCTCATCTGAAAAGGAAAGAAAAATGCTAAAAGTCCATAAGAGCAGCCAAACATTTTTATAGACGAACTGCTGCATATCGGTTCCTCCTCGAACCTAAGAGATGGTCATTGTGCCGTTTCTCCTGGAGACGCTGTCGAAAGGCAACCCCAACTCTCTGTCGTCAAAGTCCTCCGTGACGTCATTATGTAGCAGCTCATAACTGGAGTGGTTGTGTGCGGCGATGCCGTTTGACACCGGCCCGTTCTTCTCGTCCTTCCTGATGGACACAGCCAGTGTCGCCAAGCTGATGCTAACGTCCTTAAAGGCGTGCAGAAGAAAGATGCCCACTATAATCGTAAAGAAACCGCTCATTGTGCCGATGATGTCATCGACCCCCATGTGTTCCCATTCTTTGAACAATATGGCAGAGCAGGAGAGCACTGAGGTGGTGAAGAACACGTAGTAGATGGGCGTCACCAGGGATGTGTTGAAGATGTCCAGTGCTTTGTTCAGGTAGTTGATCTGTGTGCTAACACAAGCGATCAGGCTCAGCAGCAGAAGCCAGGCCAAAGGCTTTCGCAACACTGGCTTCCCAGCGATGGCCTCCTTAATGGTGATGCCCAATCCCTTCACGCAGGAGACGGACAGGGCACCAATCACGGAGCAGATAGTGATGTAGACCAGGATGTTGGTCTGCCCGTGGCGTGGGCCCACTACGAAGATGAAGATGAGCGCTACGATGATGACGACTGTTGCAAAGACCACAAAGCCTGGAGAAAAGACAATTATGATTAGTTGTACACAGCATAAATATCTGTACACAATCTTACAAAAGTTTAGGGTAAAAAATAAATGAACACTTTTCAATTCCGCAAGACTTTATTAAATGGTTACAGTAAAGACAAAAATTCTATTTCAAATCAATGTTGTTTTTTTTGCAATTTCTATTAAATCAATAACATCACAGTGTCCCCCAAAAATTAAGCAGCAAATGTTTCTGAAGGATCATATAACACCGAAGACTGGAGTAATGTTAAATGTAAATGTTAAAATATATTAAAATAGGAAACAGCTGGTTTCCTTTATGTATTTTTGATCAAATAAAGATAGCCCTGGTGGGTATAAGAAACTTACTGCCCCCTAAACTTTTGAACGATTGTGTGACTGATACAGACTGAGTCTGCATATTAATATTACAATAGCTCAGTTCCTGGAGGGTCACAACCCTGCAGATTTTAGATCCACCCCTGCTTTAATACACAAACTTGTGGTTTTTAAAAAACCATGAAGGACTTGATTCGCTGAATCAGGCGTGTTTAATTAGGGTTGAGGAGAAACCCTCCAGGAACTGAGTTTGACAGCCCTGCAATAACTGAATCCAGCAGTTTCTATCTGCACTGCTGCTGAGTCACATTCCTGGAGGCCCTTCAATGTCTTTACATGTCATAGTTTACCTGGATCAACCAGTTTTTTGGCCATGTCTTCCAGGCTGTCCATTTCCTCCTCTTGAGGTGCGTGTATCACCATGGTAGTGGAGCCCAGGATACTGAGCAGACAGCCAAGCTTTCCGTGCAGGTTCAACCTCTCTGTCAGGAAGTACGAGGACAAAACCGCACTGCAAAACAGCCAAACATTCAACTTAGTCAGGATAGTTCGCCTAAAAATATACACTCAACATTGTCATGTCTATAATATTTTTTGGAATTCTTAAGTAGGAATCTCAAAGAACCTGTACTTTTGGAACAAAGTTGATCCTACAATTATGAGTAGCTCTTGATTTTACAGTCCTGTTCCCTCTGTACTTATTACAGTAATTATAATAACTAGGTACTAACCCTGAACCTACTCCTAAACCTCACCTTAACCCCTGTAGTCTTTTATTACCTAGTATTTTCTTAGGCATGAACACTGTGAGTACACATATTGTGTAATAAAGTGCAACCGAATTATGACAATTACTATTATATATTGATTATCTGACTTTGTGTTTGTAAAATGCATTAAAAAAAGTGCGATACATTAGCCTTCACGTATTTACCATCTTTATTAGTTGTTCTCACAACAATTGTCAGGTTTTCATGATTTACTATGTAAAGTTTTTTTTAAACAATTTTTTACTAAAAAAAAAAAAATAAAATAACCAATAAAATTAGCATTCCTAGAAAGAAAATGACTTTTTCCTGTCAAGAAATCTCATATTTAAAATTATGCATAAATCCAGGTTTTTCCGAAGTAGAAACACAGTTTCCACAACGCTTTAGATTCTAGTCTAGAGAACATTTGATTGGACAAAAGATGTGATGAGAAGCTGAAGTCCATGGTGATGTCATAAAAGTCCATGATCCATTTTAGCGGAAGTGAGAGACTGTAAGTTAGTTTTGAATGCTTATATCCCCTATTGTTTTGGTATACACAAGTTTATTCATAAGGCTAACATATTGAATACTAGAAGCTAAAAAACTTTCATTTACACTTTAAAGTCTACTTGAGACCCCTTTAGAAGTTTGTTGTGAATAAAATAGGTTACGAGACTATGTTGTAGCTTGTTTTGGTCCATTTGAGAAGATAACACCTTTGACATTAAGAGATGTAGTAGTGTGAGAAGTTGGTTGCAACAGCTACTATTAAGCTTGTACTTAATTTACAAAACAAAAAAGGAAACCACCAAAATTAACCACTAGCATGAATCACACTCTGGTTGTGCGACAGAAGAACATTCTGCAAAAAAAAAAACAATAGTTTGCACAAAGATTGACAAACCTGACTAGCACACTGAGAGCCCCGAGAGGAGTGACGAGTGTGGCGGGAGCAAAGGCATATGCTGCGAAATTGGCAGCTTCACCAGCCCCCACTGTCAAAACAGACAGAAATAAAATAGTTACTCTGAGACACAAACATGATAAATATATGCTGTGTGTGTATATCTGCTTCAGGTTTAAGATAAATACAAGTAATTTACTCTGTCACTTACTTGATAACAAGCCAGCCCACCAAAGCCATTCTTTTAGATATGCATGACCTCCTTGCCCTGGTAAAGCAAGATGATTCATGTTTCAAAATTATTCTATATTTTTTTTTACAGTCACCAATTTGGTGTGACATACTTTCTGTAATTATTAAATTGCATTGAATTTCATGTATTGGCCTCCCTAGTTTCTAGATATCAACACTGAAAAAATCATTGACAACTAATTGGTTCAAACATTATAATGTCACTATTTTTGTAACTGCCTAGTCAAAGAACTAAAATGCTAAATGACATCACAGTTTGTATCAGTATTCCGTTATGGTCCAACATTAAAACCATTAAAACACTTGCGTTCGGTAAGATTTTCTCCTGTTTTTGAAACAAAAAGTGTCTTTTATCAAGACTGCGCTTATTTGATAATAAAACCAATTATATTAAAGATATCATTCTTCTATTTGCTTTCCATTTTAATATATGTTAAAATATAATGTATTCATGTGATGGCAAAGCTGAATTTTCAGCATCATAACTCAATCTTTAATGTCACATGATTTCTTATTAATATCAACGTTAAAAAGAGTTGTGCTTTTGTTTTGTGATGATGTTATGAATTTAGGTAGGGGAAATTAATTGTAGTTCCTAATATTCATTTAATAACAATACTATCTTAATATTAATAATTTAATACATCAATGGTAAAAAGAGCCAATTATTGTATTGATTTCATCAAATGCATCTGCCATCGGTGATATCTCAGACTATCGGCGATACACGATACTATCGTCACAACCCTACTATAGTAAAAGTAAAAAATGTAAAATGAAATAAACCTATTTATGTGTAATTATCAGAAATTAAACAAACACCTGTAAAATGTTTTTTTTTTTCTTTTTTTCGGTTGATTGTACTTTTGTAATTATCATATTTTACTAATTCATTTATTAGGTTATTATTAGGTTAAATATTATATAAAATAACTTATTAATAGCATGATCAAGAAATGGAACATAAACTACTCTATACACTAAATATGTATTTCAAGATGGTCAACTAGAATACAATACATGTTTTAAAAAACTTATTTAAGCAAAAACAAGTTTGAAATCAACTTGGGATATTTAAATACAACAAAAATGGTTAAAAGAGCTCCGCTGCTTATGTTTGCTGTCTAGCAACCAAAAAATGCTATCATATTACATGATACAACACTAGAATAAATTAAACTTTATAAAAGTGAAAAGTCATTGGTTATAGTTTGAAACTTATTTTGTTGTCAATATAAATGGCACGAGTCCATATACAGTGATAAATATCTCAGTATGGTGAAGTCATGGAAACAGAGTTAATGATTTATAAAAAGTGTGTGGCAAGTGATCTATACTGTGCTGCACCTTTAGGTTAACAACAAAAGTTACTGAACAGGTGTGTCTGAATAAAACATCTCAAAAATGTTCACACCCATACCAGTTAAAACTCTGGCAAAATGGCGTATGATTTTCTGACACCGTAAGATTAAAAGCTTACATTAAGAATTAAGAAACATACCTGCTCGCATCGAGCCCTTCCTGGCCAGTCGAAGGAGCCCTTTCTTCTTTAAGATGAAACTACCGCCGATAAATATACTGGAGCTTATTGCCAAAGCAAGGCCTATATAGAAGTCGTACTTTCCTCTGTCTTGACCCATAGTGCCGTTGGTAGAGTTTCCTCTCGTCACATTGACATACATGCACCGAAGATTCAATCCAGAGGAACAATCCTGGCCAACTGCTGAGCCTGGCAAGAAATATAAAAAAGTATAATAATTATGTAAATAAATTCAAATAAGTTCCAAGTTAGGGATGAACTTTTCTCATACCGTTTTTATAAGAAATACTACTACACACATTACAGCTCACAAGACCTGAAATTTCATTCATGTCAACACACACACACACCCTGCTCTGAGGGAGAATGAAGAATGACAGTGTGTGTGTAATGCAGATTAATTGACAAGATGACATGAGCAGTAAGTTACAGGAAGTGACTCAAAACACTGCAGGGTCGAAGTCCTACTACACATGTTGACTTAAAGCGAATGGTATCAGCAATAATAGTGACTTTTCCTTCCGTCATTTCAATACAATGAAAGATAGTCAATGCGTGTCCACGTAAAAAGTATTTCGGGTTTGTTTCAACATAAGGCCAGCCCAATTTTAATGACATAATTTTGTTTTTAAGTGAACTATCCCTTTAAGGCGCAAAACATGAGCATACAGCTGATCCAGCAAACTTTACAGCGGTACAAAACACCATGTCCATTTTTCCTAACGTTAAATGTAAACCAGCCATCTCTTAAGGGTCAACATATAGGCGATGTCTTCTTGATATGACAACATGATGAGAATTACCTTATTCATACAGTCAAACCCAGCCAGATAGCTTAGCAAATTAGCTTCATAATTCACAGCAAAACACGCGTGGCTAAAGGAGGTTATTGAATCATTCTGAATACCTAGTTCAATTCCAGCGATTAGCTCGACATCGTGTCCGGTCACAGAGATTTCACGGTTTTGACTTTCACATTTTCTCGCGACCATGAAATTCAGACGCGATGTTGACGCGAACGTATGCAGACCCACCTACACAGCAGCGATGAGCGAGTCGTTCTTTTGAGTCGGATCTTTTCAAACAATCGGTTGAACCGGATCACAAAACTCGGTCTGAACAATTCTTCCATTAATTAGACTGAAATAAAAAGATACAAATTAAATATTTATTAAGTAGTAGATTACTTATTAATGTTAGCTTAAACAAAATAAATTAAAGGGGCAGCACATGTCTACCGAGCTTTGAAGTTCTGTGAAGATGAAATAACGTATTGTTCACAGGCCAGAAAATTAAAAAAAAAAAAAAAAAAATTAAAAGGGAGACATATGATGGTTGACTTTACTATAATGAATGTGAAATTTGGCATGGAACAATAACAGATACTTTTTTCTTCATAGAGGGTGCTGTCAGTGTCAACTGTCTGGTAACCAACATTCTTTAAAATATCTTGTTTTGTGTTCAAAGAAACAAACTCATACAGGTTTGGAACAACTTGAGGGTGATTATGTTATGACATTTTTATTTTTGGTTGAAGATTATCTCTTAAAGATTCGAGAGAAGATGAGTAAACTGATGAGTCTTTATGAGCTGAGGATGGGGAGGAATATGTTCCAAATAAAACGTATTGTGTATGTTTTTGAATTTATTGTATGATTATATTAACACTGAAACGTAATTTAAAATTTGGTTAATCTAAATGAGTTAAATTTTCCATGTAGCCTACCACATGATGCAGCAAAACGCCATGACGTAAAAGAATCAACGAATGCATTCTTTGAAATGAATTGTTTGAGAGAGCCGATTAGAGAAGAGTCGGACACCCATCAGTAAAAGGAAAGCGGAAACGTACGCGCAACCTCTCTTTTGATTGGTCTTGTGTTAAAGTCTCCTTTTATGCGTTTAAACATTGTAAGAAAATGTAAAGTGATGTTGTAAAATGTAAACTTGTTTTTGTAAATAGATATGTTAAATCCTAAAAAAAAGTTCCCTCATCGCCTAATATCAAAGTGTATGATTGCTTTATGTTGAGCAGGAGGTGTATTCAGTTGCACGTAAGTAAACGACAGGTGCAGAAACCAGAAATAAACTGCAGGAACCTCTCTTTACACTAAAAGAACGTATTTTGTATAGCAAATCAAAACACATTTAACGTTACAATGTAACGTTGTAAATATAAACAGGTAAATATGTTCTTAACAGGTAAATATGTTATTAACATGAAAATATATTAACATCGACAGATTGTATATAATACAACGGGTCTGGGTTTCATCCGGCAACCATTAACAACTACAGAGCAAACGAAAACATAGATTAAAATAAAACGCTACTTTAAAGAAATTAAAATAATAAACTGTGAATACAACCAGAAATGCCCCCATTGGAATACGTAAAAATAACGCACAACTTACTCTGGATTTGAAATAATTTCCGTTCTCTGATGGGACTGGATTAATTTAGGATACAGTGGGAAAGTCCATCGACAGATCAACTAGGTTAAAGAAGCCAGCTGTTGTCTCAAATGTAAGAAAAACAGCCCCTGCTGGCCGTCATCTCGCCATGCTTACAATTACATTGAATTATTGATGGTAGACTAACCAAAACTGTTTCCACAGAATTATTCCAGATGGAAATCCTTAAATTTGAATGATAATGAGACCAAGATAAACATTTTTTTTTTTAAATTTAGAAATTGTGATTTATTCATGGTTGACTGCACACACACACACACACACACACACACACACACACACACACACACACACACAAACAAACAATCAAGCAGAGATTAATATAATATAAATGTTAGTTTTTATTTCCAATAAGAGATTAAATTAATTATATATTCTAAATAAATTAAATAATTAGATATTCATGAAATCATTATATTATTATCCCTTGTGCTGTGTTGAAAAACCTATAACACCTTTTATGTTGTCAAAACTTTTAAAAATTGCTTGTTATGCTATATTGTCACCAAATATTGGATTCAATCTTTTTGTAAACTTTTCTTTCAATTTGGACAGGTTTTGTATTTTTTATTTTTGGAACGGATTGATTGTAGGCCTCGTTGACCTGAGCTTATGCAACTCATATGCAACGTCTTCAGTGAGTAAAACGCATTATTTGTGGATAATTTAGTCAATATTCAACAAAATATGGAACAATTGCACCATTTATTACACTAGTGCACTGTAATGTTTAATTAGGATGTTTGTTTTGAAATGCTTTTATTTTTTACAAAATGGAAAAAAAATGCTTATAAATCTCCTGTTATGCTATATCATAACCAAAATTGGATTCAATATTTTTGTGAATTTGTTTTCGATCAATTAAGGAAGGTTTCTAGTTAAACATTAAAGTGAACTAGTGTGATAAATTGATCAAAATAATTGTACATTTTATTCAATATTATTATTAATATACATTTTCGGGAAAAGAAAATCCTCTCCAGGTCAAAATGACCCAGACACAACATAAGAGTCAATCAATAAAAAGATATATTAAAAGAGATAAAATTGGTGTATACTAATCAGGATATATTCCATATTAAAATACACTTTTTTATTTAATATGATGAAGTCTATAAAATGTTAAAAGGATGTCTCCCTTATTTGGATTTGGAGTGGTAAATTACTATTAACACACAAAATCCGATCTTTGTTTGTTAAACCAACCCTGTCAGTTATTTGTAAAAAAAAATGTACTCATGAGTTAGTCCTCTTTAGCTTTGGTTTGGCTCCAAGTAAGTGTAGTTTCTTGAGATATGCGTAATAAGGCAACACCCACAGACACTGTGATAAAACCACACAGAATACCCAAAAAGTCCACAATGCCGATTGCTGTCCATTCCCTGAAAAGAATAGCGGAGGCTATGATGACACAGGAGGTGAAAGTCACATAGTAAATGGCCTCAAACATGTTAGAGCTAAAGCTCTCCAAGGCTTTGTTGATAAAGGTGAACTGGATCAAAATACTGACTACGAGAATTCCCAGCAACCCCAGGAAGAGGTAAAGTGCTCCGCTATCACTTGTAGTTGTTCCACTGAAGGCCTCCTGAGCAGCCAGTCCCAGGCCTTTGCTGCTGGGCACAGTGAAACTCCCAAGGAGAGAACAGATGCCCACATACACCATAATGTTGGATTTTCCATGAACTGGAGACAGCCAACCAACCAGAATGATCAGCGATAAGACCACCAGTGAGATGTACACCAGGAACACTGCATCATGAGAAAGATCAGAAACATGGTATCAATGTATGAGAGTGAGTTAAAAGGGATAGTGAAAATTCTGTCATCATCAACTGAACAAAGAAACTCATAGAGGTTTAAAACAACATGAGGGTGAGTGAATGTAAATGATGACAGAATTTTCATTTTTGTGCGAACTATCCCTTTTAAGTTTATTCATTCACACATCAATTATTATAATGATGGTGAAGCCGGATTCATTCCAGAGAAAACAAAAGGACCTTTAAATGTCATATTTTGTTCAGTAAGTATATATGTGTTGCTATGCAAAAGCAGAACAGAAAAAATGAGCTGCAGATGCTCTTATCGTAAGTGATTTACACAAAAGTACAATAAGATGATTTCCATAACGACAATTCATGTCAGGTTTCTTTTGTATCAGATTTGTGTTAACCCTTCTTATTCTTAAAGGGATAATCCACCCAATAATGAAAATTCTGACACAATTTACATACCCTCAGGTTGTTCCAAACCTGTATTACTTTCTTTCTTCTGCAGAACAAAATATTTCGAATAATGCTGGTAAGAAAACATTTTCCCATTGACAATGTATTTTTTGTCCACACTGAAACAGTTTGGTTATCAACGGTCTTCATGATATCTTTTTTAGTTCCACATAGGAAAGAAAATCATACAGGTTTGGAATGACATGAAGGTGAGTAAATGATGACAGAAAGATGAATTATGGCTCCACCAGACATGTTTATCATACCTGGGTCCATCAGTCTTTCCTCTAGTTCCACTCTTGAAGTAACATTTTCAGACTTGGGTGAGTGAATGATGAGCACAACTGAACCACAACAGCACAAAGCACAGCCGAGTTTCCCTATGAGATTGAGATGTTCCTGAAGCAGCCAGGATGCCAGAACGGCCCTGATTAATGATGAAAAGACAAAATAACATTAATATATGTGCTCATATGCTGATTAATATGTGAAATAAATGTTGTTGCTGTAATATTTATTTTGAGATTGCTCAGCCCACTGCATTGAATACATTTCAATTAATGAAAAATATCTTAATATAAATATAATAAAGAAATTCACCCAAACAGGACTCCCAGGGCTCCAAGGGGAGTGACCACAACTGCCGGGGCAACATTGTATGCCAGAAAATTTCCTATTTGTCCCACAATCACTTGAAAAAAAAAGTTACTTTAATAATAATAGTTAAATTGTATTTGAAGATATAGATGTATTACTCACTGGCAAGTGTACCACACCACCACACACAATCAGCCAGGTAAGTTCCACCTGTAGTGACATAAATCATTATTTATTAAATATTGTAATATTAAATATTATGCCTACATCTGGACAGGAAGTGTAACTTATCTTAGGGAAAAAATAGGGAAATCTAGGGAATAGCGGTCTTCTAATGTGAAATACCTGATTTTCGGGCTCGCAGTATCCCCTTTTTCTGGAGTACAAAGGTGGATCCATTAATAAAACTGGACACAACAGCAATCGCAACACCAACTACTGGGAATGAAGTGTCGTCCATAAATGTATGCGAGTTTATAAATGATCAGTGTAAGTCCTTAGATCACTTTTTGACTGGTGTTGATAAAGCCCTTATAGGCTTGTTATGTTGTGGTGGACTGTGGACGTATGCGTCTAGAAATGCACAAAAATATATGAATCGGCATGCATTACATCCCGGAAGTGCATTCTCGGGAGTTCCTTACCAAACTAACGACCTCTACTGGTTAAAGGAGAACTAATATCTAATACGGAGTCATTTAACAAATAAGGTTTTCGCATTTAAAGAAAATAAATCAGAGTTATATTTAAACGGCCAATT